CAGCAGAACACACCCTCCCTCATATACTGGAAGTGCTTGTAGGCTGAAGCACCTCAATCACTTCATGCCATGCAGGGCAGTCTGTTAGAAGGCCTTTAGAGGCACATCCTGTTTTTCTGAACGCAAGATACGCAAGTCAGTACCTGATGGGGGGACACCAAACCAAAACTGGTGGTGCAACTCATTTTGTCAGATTTCTTCATATATTTTTGTCTCTCTACATGCTTGACTTTGTGTCCATAGGATTATTTTTTTGGTATCCTTTAGATTTTCTGCTGAAAGCTAACTTTGATCCAAAGGCAGGAACTTTTTTTGCTGGTAGAATCGTGATAATAAAATTTAATTTAATTAATTTCTAGTTGATTATTCCAGACTTTTTCAGTTACTCTTTGTTGTTTCTTTCCATTTCCCTTTGAGGTAGTTTCCAAATAGCTGGATTCTAAGGATATATGCTAAGTAAACAAAGTCTCTTCCCAGGATTGCCTAAGGGTTACCTAAGCAGGTTGATGAATTTTTTTCTTTTCCCCCCCAGATTGATGCATCATGCCTTACATGGGAAGGACAGCAGTTCCAGGGCAAAGCAGCTATTGTTGAAAAACTCTCTGTAAGTCTATAATCCTTACTGAATGTTTTGGGAAACAGTTCTGAAGGCTATGAATTAATTGCTTCTGAAGATTTGAGTTAGACTTCAGCAGTTTAAAACTCTTGAATACAGGACTTGCACTTCCAACTTCTGGTCTTCAAAAAAATGTTACTTGTAATTTAATTCTACGTAGTGGGGTGTTCCATTGGTGGCTCTAATAGTGGAATGTTAATTGATTCTGTTAGTTTGCAAGGTTATTTTGTGACTGTACTTGCATTTGATATTATTGATTTATTTTTTAAAAAGTATAGTTCATAAGCTGATCCTGTGACCCAGAGGAGCGAAAGGTGTTTTTTCGTTCTTTTAAAGCATGCCAAAGAAGTAGCAATAGCAAATGTGTTATTTGGATCTGCCTATGATAGAGGCTAAACATGTTATTGCAAGGAACAATTTGTTTTCTGATACATAAATGCAAATAAATTCTGTGGTGGAGAACCTGACTTATCCTCAATGCAGCATTTGTCAGGTGTTCAGATATAAGCAGTTTGGGACTTTGAAACCAGTGTTGTTTCTTCATCAAGTGAGAGGTAAAGCATTTCTTACTGTATAGAGACTAAAACTCTCTCTCCATGTTCATTTAGTTAAACTTGGAGAGATTTTACCTTTTGGGTAAATCCATGCTTCTGTTATAAAACTGGGTGTACTTATAAGCTGTTGTGAAGCTTGAAAGTTTGTTTCTCTTGCAAGATATGTGAAGGGCATGTTTTAGGTCCCTGGACGTTCTGCTCAGAGCATGGTATATAAGGCAGATATACCATTTTTATTACACATTGAGAATAAAAATCTTTAACTTTGATGCTTGTTTTGTACAGCTAGTGCTCCTGTGTTTTGGAATCACTGCTTTCATCCAAGACGTCTTTAACTGTGAAGGCTGAGGTTTGCCCTTGGATCTGTGTTTTAGGTGCCTGCATTGCCTTTGAGAAGGCCACTTACCTCAGAATAGCACAGCTTGCAACTGCTTGCTTCTAGATGGGGGGAGATACTCAAGCTTCAGAGTTGCTTGTTTGTGTACTCAGTGTTCTTTAGACTTCTGGGCTAGCAGCCATTTAGATACCCAACCAGCTAAGCATTTGCTTGGCCACAGTGTCTCGGACTGCTGCCTTGGATCTGGCCCAGTGCAGATCGGCCCATTTCCCACCAGAGCATTACTCATCTTTACCTTCCCTGTCTGTGGTGCCAGTTAGACTTTCTGGATTCATGTGCCTGCTGCACAGTCTTGCTTGGTGCATGAAGGCATGCTACTATGCCTCAGGGAAAGTTTTTGTGGCTTGTATCCATCTGCTTAAGGAAGAAATGCAGTAAAATTATTCCGTGCCCTTCCACTGCCATGGCTTGTTATGGGGCTGTTTCAATTTACCGTGACTCTTTCAGCACACGCCTGTGAGTGCTGAGCTACTTGAGGTTTGTTTTGCTGTTTCAACTTAATGTGCTCACCTACTCTGTGCTTCTGGAGCTTCTTAATCAGTTGAGCAGATCACTGGAAGTTTGACACTGGAATTTGTTTGCACTTCTGCAGTCTTGTGTTCTTCAGTGCCTGACTGATTAATCAGTGTAAGTGCCAAGGGGCAGGATTTTCTTTTACAGCAAGTTGTGCTGTGTAACAGCAACACTATGGCACCTTTTCAACCTGCTCAGTCAGATGATGCTAATGCAGTAGGGCAACGTTGTAAAGACACTGCTTTGCTAGCCCTGGTGTACCTGTACCTTGTCACAGAGTGGGAGTTGACACTTGTTCCTTCTGTCTTAATTGGTGCTGGACTTAGGTGCTGTTTCAAATAGAGTGCCTGTCCTAATCCGGGGGTAGCCTAATGTACATGGAGCATTTGAGATAGTCATGTAGTTCTGTGAACCTCCTGCACCAAGGAGGAAGCTGGGACAGGTAGCTTTGTTGCCAGGAGTGAGTTTAAGCTACTCGACTTTATTTTTGCAGAATTTCTCTTACCTGACTTCAAGGAGGATTCCATGGTTTTGGTAGTGAAAGCCCAGACAAGATTTAGTGTCAGAGGACACTAGAAGTCTTGGTTGTTGTGTGGCTTCTCACTTGTTAGTTGCTTTTATGGTACTCTTCATATCAAGAAATGCTTCTCTCCAGTACAGATGGTTGTCCATTAGCAACCATCCTTTTGAGGTAGCTTCACTCTGTCATAAAAATCGGTGAACTTTCCTATTGGATGACCCTACTCTTTACAGTGGGATTTACCCTACTGCATCACATGAGTAAGCAGCTCACTTGGCTGGCCAGCCATTGGGGTCCTTTTCTCTGAAGGACGCAATCCAGTACTTGAAACAGGCACCACCTTACCCAGCCTTGTCTTTGGTTCCTTGCCACCATTTTGCAGGGCTCTTGACTCTGAAGCCTATCCTTCCTCCCTGTTGTTTTCTCCCCAGTCTCATCTCTCATTGGCATCTTGTCACACTGGAAGGTGGGCTCTGGATACAGCCCTTGATCTCTGGCTTTTCAAGACACTTTTCTTGCAGGACTTGTTCGACAACAAGCTGTTGTGCTAAGGTGGGACCAAGTTTCATAGCACTCTTCTTGTCAAAGGAAGGGTGTGCAATGTCCCAACCTATGCTTGTGCAGGCACATTCAAGTTTGGGATAGTGACCCTGGAAAATAGTCTGCTGGTAGTTCAGAAAAGATGGTTTTTTTTTTTTTTTTTTTTTTTGTTACTAAATGTCTATTCCATATTACAAACCAATGGCTCACTTTGCAGTTCATAGTAGGTTCAGATTGTTCTTCTAGCCAAGAGGAAACACTGCAGGCTTTATTACAGAGTGTTCTTGAATAGTGTCCCTCTGTGATTAGAGGGCTGCTCCGTACACTTCCTTTGCTTCCCCAGGTACTGATCCTTCCACAGTTTCTGTGTTTTCTATTATCCAAGGATTTAACTTCCTGGTATTCTTCCTGAAACCTTATGCTTGTCAGGGGCAAGTCTGTACTTCACATCCTTGACAGCAGGACTTGGGTCTCCTAGTCTTGTACCTAGGCCTTCTAGGAAGTCTTTCAGGCTCCTTCCACTAGAGTGAAATGCAGAACTTGTCAAAGTACATACTTGTGTCTACCTCAACCTGTTAACAAATCAGGGAAATGTAGCAAAGGCATCAAAGTACAACCTGAGCGTGCTGCTGTCTTGTGCTGTGCATGGACTCTGGGTATCAGCCATGTGGTCACCCAGAGCTCCATCCGCGCTGAACTGCCACTTCTAAAGCGTTTAGCATTAATGCAGTTTTTGATAGAACAGCGCCAAAATTGTGTTTGTGTGACAGGACTCTGAGATCCCCTAGGTATTTGATGTTCACCACTTGGAGTCTTCCATGGTTGGAATGTGAATGTGGTCTAAGTTGAGAGGAATTATTCCCCAATGTCTGGTGTTCCTTGCACACTTAACTCCAGACATAGTTGCATCTGCTACATGAGCATGGCAAGCTTTTTTTTCTTTACAATATGTGTGCTCTTTATCTCCACCACCGCCTCCTTCCCCCTGCTCCTGCTTGGTATATGGCAAAGATGGTGCCTGTTGCATTGTTGGTTCAGGTGCTGTTATGAAGGAAAGAAAAAAGAGGAAAGGTGGATATGTGGATTTCAAGTTCTGAACACTCGTTCTTGGTCAACCACCCTTCCTTTGTATTCAAAGCCATTTTAACAAAGAAGCAAATTTGGAGTTGTCTGGTAAACAGTCTTTTAACACTGTTCAGAGTAGAGAAGCTTTGTGCTTGTATCACATGAACCTTCACCTTGTAGATGAACTGAAGCTCTTCAGGCAGTGTAATTAGACTAGGAAAAGGTACTGCTTAAGGTATATGGTGACATATTATTTTGTGTCTTGGTGCTCAAAAAACACAGCTGTTAGGATCAACCCAGCCTGAGTAGCATCGAGTTGCAAAAACTCTCCAGGCAGTGCTACTAAAATAGTCTAACACTTCATAATGTTGGATTTGCTCAATCTTTGTTTTTGTAAGTTAAATAATGCAATGACTGTACATTTTCTTCTTTTGCTTTCTTTTCATTGCAGAGCCTCCCTTTCCAAAAAATACAACACAGTATCACAGCACAAGACCACCAACCTACACCTGACAGCTGTATACTCAGTATGGTAGTGGGACAGCTTAAGGTAAACTCTTTCCATTGCAGGTTAACAAATGCTTATGTCTTAGATTTTTGCAGGATTCTAAATCATCTGATTTCTGGAAACATTAAAATGCTCTCTTGGATGGGGAAGGAACACTGGTAAGCTTGCATTGGGCTGTCATTCTTCTACTGTCAAGACTGTCAAGAAACTGCTCATCCCTTCAGATAACTAGCACTAGGTAAACCACCTGTAATGTGACAGTCGTATGTTTCTGCCAGGCAAAGTACCATGGTTTTTACTGCGCATATAAATATCGTATGGGCTCTAGAAGCATTAATATTTCCCTTACCCTGATGCAGTAAGGTTTCAGTGTCCTCTGCATTTAAAAGCATCGTTACAGTGTTCGTGGGCAACATAAGCACATCTAGTTTAATGTGCTCTTTGATGTAATGTATGCCTCAAGCTGTGATTTAGCAGACGTTTTTTGTTAGCTGACAACCCTTCAGTAAGACTGTGCTTTTTCTTTGCTGTCACAGGACACAAGAATACAGTTCTGGTGTTAATACAGTCCATTACCTCTGTAATCAAAACTGGTTCAGCAATGGGAGTGTTGCCTCCGAGATCAAACGTTTGTTGTTGAAACACCTTCTTCTTGGGTAGAAATCAGATTATTTTTCAGGCTGTAATATGATTACATTGCTGTTTACATTATACTACTGAATTGCATAAACTTACCCAGTTTCCTGTTGTTTTGAGGAAATGTTGGATCTAAATATACCAGGGCCACAGACTTGTAAGCTAATTACACTACTTATCAATAAAATAAGTTGTCCTGGAATCTGCAAAAACTACCCTATACGTAAAGTTAGCTGTAGGCAGAACTTGCTCATGGTAGGCAGTGTTTGTTTAAAAAGTGTGACATTTCATAGCAATAGTTAAAATTATCAGAGTTAGTTTTGTCAGGGTTTGGTCCAGCCATGCTGTCAAGACAGGACTCTAAAGCCATCCAGTCTTTAGAGTTACTTGAACCCACTTTCTTTTAAAATGGCTGTTTAGGTTTTCTTTTCCTGTTAACTCTGAATGGCACCTCTGGTATCAAAACATTCAAACTTTCACTGACTGCACTGTTAACTAAGCAAACATAGGACTGAAAGTTTGAATCTGCTTGCTTAGCTATTCTCCTTAATTGTTTTGGGCTGGGCAGTTGAGAAGAGCAGTTCCCAGTGTATTGCATCCACTTCGAAGCCTAACATAGATAGCTTTGGCTCTCATTAAAGTTGCTCCTGCTTCATAGCTGCAAGCTAGATTCCAGCTTTCTTCTTGCTCGATCCCACCTGCACACACTCTGAGGAAAGACAGCCACACGTGGCCATGGAAAGCACTGAACTGCAGGACAGGTATGAAGTCAGACATACTGATCTCATCTGTCTCATTCTTGGTTGTGCACAAAACTCAATGATGTGACCAAGACTTTTTGACTCAATGTCTTGGGCCACTCACATCTGCACCTAGTTTTGCATGGTCATGTTTTTAAGGTTTTGCATAATTATTAAGCAGATCACAGCATGTAACAGTGATTGTGTTGAATCCTGTGGCAAGATACCAAGTTCTTGAAGATTCTGTAAAGCTTTTGGGTTTTCTCATCCCTTAGTATGGTGGTTAGAGTTGTACATGCAGTCCAGGAGCTTTCCATAAATATCATGGCTTGGAGTAGTATTTCTTACTGTGCTGGTTTTATCCATTTTACTATTTATTTTACTTTTTTTTTATATTTTCAGCTTGCTGAAATTATTCAGAATAATTCAAGGATCACGTGATAGTGCATCTTGGTACTTGGAAAGAACATATTGGATTAAAGTATGCCTATTGTCATGATGAAATCCAACTTGTTTGTGAATTTTTAGGAGAGGCAGCATTTTTCCACTCTTCACGTGGATGTGTCTCCAATCTCAGCTTTAAAAAGCACATTTTAATGCCTGGGAAATGCCGTTCCTCATTGAGGAAGCGCCCAGAAAGTCAGAGCCAACTTAGAACTTCTTGCTTCTGCCTTGTGTGATACTTATACAGGCAGACAAATGAAATTATCAGTAACAGTCTGCAGCATGACATACAGTAAGCATTTCTGCCAGTACACAAACCTGGTTGCCATACGTAGAGAATACTTCTTCTTGTGCTAATACATAGGTGTTGAGATGCATTAAAATGGCTGTCAGTGCTGTTTGCAATACAGTACAGTAACTGAGAACTACTGGGTTCAGTTAGTGCATTTTAACAAGCGGCTCAGTTGAACGGGGTGCACTTTAACACGCAAACATGGAGCACCATATTTAGTTTTATTTAAAGGTTGCCTTCTTAATGGTGTGGCTGTTCCGCACAGCGTGCATCTGTTGGTCTTGAAGACTGTAGAGAAATTTGCACAAGGAAGGGGACTTTCAAGACCATCAGTAGCAGGGTTTGAAGGGAAAAGCCATGCTTCCTGCTTACTATTCAGTTACCCTTTCAATGGGACTGTGAAGCCAAATTCTTCAAAGCCCAGTACAATTAGTGCATATGCCTTTGAATCCTCTGTGGTTTTTCAAAACTTGCATTGTTTTATGTAATGAAGGAGCATGCATAATGCTTTTAGCAGAGTAATCCAAGAAAATAATAATGCTAAAATGCCTGTAACATGCCCTTTGTAAGAAGTCATTCTGGGCATGATATTTAAATGGATTTTCTGAGGCCTTAGTTGCTTGAATTGCTAGTTCCAAAAGTTCAGTGGAAACTCGTTCTTAAGTGAGCTGGGCACATCTTGTATTTCTTCCTTAAACTGTTATGTTTTGATCTTGTTTGATTTTAGGGGAAAAAAACCCAAACCAAAACAGAAAAACCTTCTAACTCTCCCTGCATATACTGTGGGGTAAACTTGCTACCAAATTGTCACAAAGCCTCAGCTCTCCTAACTGTACAAGAATAGTTCTGGAGAAATAATGGGGGTCAAGGACTATTACTGTCAAACTCTGTATTTCCTGTACCAGAGTATTATGCCTTAAGTAAACATGCAGATTTGGGTTGTTTTAAGCCTTTGGCCTCCTGTGCTGGAGGAGGATTTAACTGGGGTCAGTTGAAATCATTACTGCCCTGTGACAAGGTCAAGATGTGTATCTGCCTCTGTGCTGTTCCAGTCTACAGCCCAGCATGGTAATACCAATATGAACTGTAAATAAAAAAATAGCAACATCTTTTGCAGCAGAATAATTATCTGCACTGAGAGGACTGGACACAACAGCTTCTTCAAGATGATGTCAGAGAGTAATAGAGCATCTAAGTAGGGTGAATGTCACTAGCGAGGATCTAACTTGCTGGCAGAAGCAAGTTGCTTTAATTGAAAAGCATATTTTCAAGTAAACATATGAAAGAACCTTTTAAATGGATGTTGAGATAGGTAGCAATGGTTTTTTTATCCTTTTGTAGAGGTATAATAAATATACCCCCATTTATTCTAATTCTATTACCATTTTTTATTGCTTATTCATTGTCTGGGTGCATGCTTGCTTGCTTCAACTAGGAAGAGTGAGGTCATCAGTTAAGCCTTTAGGAGTGAGTTTCCTTTGGAACACTTTGCCAGTGTTCATCTCAAATGTCACCCAGTATTTTCAGTGTGCTTTGCCTAGTAACATATTTCTCCTGTCATGCTCAGGCAGATGATGACCAGGTTCTAGGCTTCCACCAAACCTTTTTGTTGAAAAGTTTTCAAGGTGCCTGGGTGTGCACAAACGAAGTCTTCAGGCTAGCCCTGCACAACGTTTAATGCTCTGCCTTACCTCTCTTCCATGCAGTCCTCGCTGTCCTGGTTGAGTAAGGAGTGCTCTCTTCTCCCTCTTCTGTCACTTGAGCTCGGCTGAGAAGCATGGCTGTGTCTTGCACGTTCTCAGAGCAATGCGTCAGACCTGTGGCTCTCCTCCAGAGTGTGAATTTTGAAGTGATTGTTGCAGAATTAATTGTAAATAACTAATTGTTATGTAGTGTTTCCTAGGCTTAAAAGGGAAAGGAAACTTGCAATTAAAATCACTGGATGTTTTTGTAATGCATGCTGAATACTTAAGTTAAAGCCTGTTAAATGAGGCTTAACATCTGAAAGAACCTGCTATCTTAAGTAATTAGCCTTTCCTTTGAGATAAGGATAGCTGCAAGCCTGCAGTTCAATCAACAGTTGCTCTGGGCTGCTGGTGAAAGAGTAAAACTGTCTCTGACTAGACAAGAGGAGAAAAGTTGTTCAGCTGAACTTGCATTGCAAAGTAGTGTTGCATCTAATACTCTGACATGACCCATAGCTCTGTGAGCTGAGGACTTTATGCAGTTTTGAGCCTGCAGGTCAGAAGAGATGTAGAAAAACTGGAAGAGGTCAAAAATCTGCCAAGACTGCCAGTGTTTGAGAGCTTGTGGAGCTGGGAGAGGAGGTGGCTAAGGGCAGTCTGCCTGAAATGTAGGTGGAAAGTAGTTGAGTACTTCCAGCAACCTGAAAACAAACTGTTCTATGTGGTGCCAGACAGTGTAACAAGGGACAGTGGTTGCAAACCTAACTTGGGAGGTTCAAATTGGACACAAGGGAAAGATTTTCGTTGGAAGGCTGAAACCCTGCAAAATGGTGCCTGGAAACCTTGTGAAACTTCTGTTCTTGGAGGCTTGGAAGACTCTGCTAGACAAAGCTGTGGCTGATGCAGTGCTGCTGGTAGTGTGTGATCATGCTTAGCATGAGGCTGGACTGGAAACCAGAGGATCCTTCTGATCTGATTCTGTGACTTTTTTAACTTTTATTGTAATTCAGGGATGTCATGAAAGAATTTGAACTGCATAAAGGGAAGCTTTGTAGGAAAAATAAAGTCCCTGCCTTTCAAGCCTGAGTTCACATCTGGAATGCAAATTTTGAGTTGGACAGAGCTGGAGTGGAAAGTAAGGGTAAAGTTTCAGTGATGTTATCTAGCTGTGAAGAAGATCCAAAATAAAATGGGATAGGATTAGTCTACGCCTTCTAGAGCATCTCAAGTCACTCAACTGTGGGTCTTTGCTATATGTTCATAGGACATATTGAGAATTTTGGGAACAGACTATAAATTCATTCACCTTAAATAAAGTCTAGGATTTTCCTTGTTTTTAAAGTATATTGCTATTCTATGCTGTGAAGCCATAACATGAAAGGAATAAAGCAAGCAATAATGTGTGACTTCATTGTGGGAATTTGCTATATGTACAACAGCAAGTGTTTGGGGAAGAATTCCCTTAACATTTAATCTGTTTTCATGTGTCCAGTCCTGAATTGTGTAAGAAAGGAGGAAATTCTCCTCAAGCCAAAGCACTAAGAGCTGCAGTGCAGCTAGGCCTATCAGAAATTGAGGAAACCTACACTAAAACTAGTCTGCTGGCATCTTTTTTTTTTTTTCCCCAGAGGTATATTTTTAAAGTGTACTCATGTCAGTAATGACATGCTCAAATTTAGTGTGAAAACTACTTAAGCAACTTGTAATATATGTGTCAGTGACCTAGGAGGAGGAGACCGTAGGGCAACTGAGAGTATACTAAGTGCTTATTAATAGTGTTGATTAGAAGTGGTTCAAACTGAAACAATTCTGCCTGGCTGATTTAAACTAAGCCATTAGAAAGGAGCTGACATGAATATGAATTCATTCCAACTTAGTCAAAAGGGATAGCATTAATAAGATGCTTTACAAAGTCATATGTCTAACTTTAATGTACAGCGCTCTGATACTACTCAGTTTTCTTAAAGATTTCTTTGTGTCCAGGAACCTACCAGCTATCGAGCAGTAGTGAGATTGTACCAGGATGTAAGTGTTACCTGATACCTAGGAAAAGCTAGAAAAGGCATAAACCCATGTGTTTCAGCACACAGGCCACCTCTTCGGCATGGATATGCAAGCATCTTTTCTGGGCAGATCTAATAATCATAATACTTCCCCTGAAATAATTAGCATGACTGCTGTCATATGTGCTAAGGAACTAGGTGGATGGCTGGTCTAATCCAGCATAATTGCTTGTGTTCACATTGTGCTGATTATTATGGAGCCTCTGCCTAATGCAAAAGGAGGCATGTATCAGCGTGACAAAAAGCTGCCCAGTTCATCAACCTGTTGAACAGTGACTTTATTGGCACTTGTCTTGCTTGAGGGTTTTTCTTTCATTTGTCTACTGAACACTTAGACTTGCTCATACTTCTGGCCTTACTTGTTGCATTCTTAATTTCTGGCTGTAGTAGTTTCCTCATTCACTTTGTCCTTCATGGTTTTATAGTAATTTGATATCTTGCCCATTCTCCCCACCCTGATTGCACTTTTGCAAGCTAGAGTGTCATACTCATTTTACTTTCTTCAGTAGGAAACTGTCCTGTAGCTGGCACATCTTTCTTGTCCTTGTCTGGCCTTTGCCTATTCTACCATTTTAATTTTTGTTAAATGATAAGAAGCGCACACAGGATTCGATATGTGGATGCTCTCTGTGCATTTATGTGGTTGCTTACTTACAGCTTCTGGTTCTCTGCTCCTTTCCTAACAACTGCTAACACTGTGCTTGCCTTGATAGCTGTTGAGCTCTGAGCTGGTTTCAAAACCAATAATTGTCCATCATGATTTCAGTATCACTTTCCTGAGAGGCCAGAGCTAATCTAGGGCTGGTTTTGGTTTTCTTCTGTGAATTAGCATACACTTGCTAAAACTGCACTTCATCTACACCATTTTATTTCCTAGGCAGTTGTCACTGTGAAATCCTTGCAGTGCTGTTGATTTGAGCGCTGCTTTTACATGTACTTGATCCTACCAGTGCTCTGGCAGATTTGCTGTTTTGTGATATAACTGATGTCCTTAGCAGGTTGCTCCTCAAAGCTGACTTGTTTCACAGTCAATTTATCACTCACATGAATATTACTTTTTAAGTAAAGATATTTTTGTTGTTTATTTTGTAGTCTGCTTTGCTCTTCAGCCTTTTCACTTGCTTTTCTTGATGGACAGCAGCAGAGCATTGAGAATAAACATTTAGCACTTTGACAGTCTGGTTCATGTGTTCCTCCGGCTGCTGCTTTTCAATGCTTTTTTTAATGCATTTCTCCCCTTTTCTGAAGCTGAATAGTTGTGTGCTGAAAGAATAGAGTGTAAAATCCTCCAAAAATGCTGAATTGATTACACTGTGGTCAGCATCAGAAGATTGTTTTGTGTGCTGTTCAGATTAAATCCTATTATGCGATTTCCAGCTGATTTGAGAATAATTTATGTTATTTTGAGGCTTTAATTCCTGCATGATATCTCTGAGGAGACTGGTAAACTTTAGGTGGGAGAACTAGTCTCCCTCTAATACTATTTTTCTGCTTTTGTAGTAATACAGTAAATGTAGTGCAGGCACTATAACCCACCTAGATGAATTGTCAAAGGCAGGAGTTGAGGGACTTCTGCAAAGATCCCTGTGCTTAGAACATCTTGTCACAGCTATAGCAGATACTTCACTCCCTTTGAGGTGTTTCTGGACAGTGGAAGTGGGAAGTATATGTAGCTGGCCAGCTGTATCTGCTCTGGGAAAGCTTTTAAAAGCTTAGATCATTACATAGGTCACTCAGACAATATTGCTGATACTGACTTCTACAGAAACTCCCTTCTGTCATCAATCCAAAGTACAGCAGCTACATACTAATTTTTAAACACCTTGTTTTATGCTTCGTTCCTGTGTAAGGCCCAAAGAAAATTTGTGATTCAACACTGAGGCAGGCATTCTCTTATCAGTGTTGTGAAGCTGCTGGAATGAGATGTCTTCCAGAAAACCCCAACTTCAGATGCCATTGCAGGATTTTTGTCATTGGGCCCTAGGTGTTGGTCTGCAAAGCACTTTGGAACAGAACCTCTGGTTGTATTAGTCTCTCTTGAGGTACTAGGCATCTTACAGCATGTGACATCACTGTTAACATTAGCTTTTAAGTTGTCTTATCATGAGTTTTGGAACACATTTCTCAAAAAAAGAGGTTTTTGAACTTTTTTCCTCTCTTTCTACAGGCTGATGAAGACCCTATCATGGGATTCCACCAGATATTTCTATTAAAGAACATCAACGATGCCTGGGTTTGCACCAATGACATGTTCAGGCTAGCATTGCACAACTTTGGCTGAGCTGGCAACCCCGAGGCACCCATGCTTCCCCCCCCCCGCCTCCTTCTCTCCTCTTACTGGTATTATTCACACTCACGGAACATTCCAAATATCATACACAAACCTGCAGCACTGCAGAGCGTGAGCAAGCAAGACCTGTGACCTGCCCTTTTGCTGAGTTTACATTGTCACTAGATGAGTTTCTTGTGCATGATGTTTGGAAGTTAGACTTAGCTGCATTTGACAAGAGAAATTTGTGTTGTACCAGCATGCCTCGGAAAGAATTTATAATGCAAAAGGTTGTTGTTTATGTACTGACAAGATGCTCTGTAACCCAAAGAAATGAAAGAACAGCAGCCTGTACAGCCCAGATATTGATTTGTTCAGATGTTTCAATGCTACATTACACAATAAAACCATGAGATTTTCTTAACAGTTTAAATTGTTTTAATGAGTTGGATATGGAGTATATGGTACCGCTTGCTTTGGATACCCTCTGTCTGCCTGGTGAGGAAATGTTTGCAAACCTAGAACCCTCAAGAGCACTTGATAGTTTTACCAATGAAGGCAGTTCAGGTATGCCCTTGGCCATACAACTTCTTTTTCCCTCCCTCTCAGCAGCTTTTATAACAGTTTTAGCTCAGTTTTCAATGTTGACAGGTTAGTTCTCAGTGGTTGTATTTTACCAAGGCAAAAGCCTAAAATAATACACAAGGATGACAACAGTCATGGTAGCCTGTAGTTAATCTGCATGACATCTATTATGTTCACCCTCAAAGCTAAACAAGACAGATGTATTTTCTTCATAGGCAGACATGCAGGATGCCAATCCAGCGCTGCCCTCCTGGAGTTTGTATCTGGCTCTAAACTCCTGGCCAGATTCATGCTCTGTGTTGTCTTTCTGGCATCCCTTCATTATAATTTGAGCTGGTACTGCATTTGCTGTGCAGGTTTTTACAGCATGGTTGGCTGTCATGTGTCTTCCACCCTGGAGGTGGTGGTGTTCTACCAGTGAAGGGATTTACTAATCTTTCCAGCATATGAGATGCACAGGAGCAGAATCACATTTGCTTTACCTTCAGACCTCACTTAAGCTATCAGACCCCAATTTTCAAGGGATTAGCATGCCTCGCTGAGCTTGTTTTTGAAGTATATGAACTTGGCATTTCCCTTTTTAATATTGTAGCTCCAGATCTGAATGAAGCCTGGCAGATGAGGGAGGATCTAAGAATAGATCTGGCTTATGAACCTTGCCCTGCAGAAGGATCTAGTCCGTGAGGTCAGGGTAGTCCTTTGAATGACAAGCTCAATAAGCCAAGAGAGAGCTTGCTTAAAAGTCAGGTTCAAGTGAAGGATATGTGCGGCAGGTGTTAGTTTAGAAACCTATCTAAAATGAGATTCTTTTAGACTGCTAAAAGTTCAAAGCAGTTATCTTCTGAAATTGGTCATGTAGGTCTTTCTGGGGCTCTTTTTCCTGCCTTTCTCCACAGAGTCATTCACTCTTGGTTCCTTACCTGGAGGAGACAGACACCAGAGTTCCTGAATCAGTATTGGTTACTATTTTTGACACCTGCATGTGTCAGCTTTGCTGTCTCTTGTCTTTCTACCCATGTTTACTGCATTAGACTGAGCCCTAGTAACCTCCTGAGTCAGGAGGCCTGGGGGGAGAGATGGTGAAAGCTGCCTGTAGTGGGAGGGAAGGCTGGGCAGCTGTATGGGATTATTTTCCCCCCCTAATCAACCTGACTTAACCCTTTATGAGTGTGACTTTAGGTATCCTCTCGTGGTGTTGCACGTAGCGGGAAATCACGTTGGCTGTAACACCCGAGGGGGCCAGGGCCGGTGTAGGCCCTTGAGGCC